CATCCTGCTCCCCGGGCTTTTCCCCCAACTGGTGTAACTGGTCCCGGGTGTCCCCGGGAGCGTCTTCACCTCCCGGCAGGGCTGGGTGAGGTCTGAAGGCAGCACCTGCATCACCTTGGGGTTCTCCAGCTGGGTGGCAGGAAGCCTTGGAGCTCTTGGAGAAGGCTTCTAAAGGCAGGGCCAGCCCCATGGGAGGGGAGAGTGACCTGTCCCCCCCCTCCATACCTCCTTCCCTATTTGGTGGGGAAGGGATCTGCACCCCATGAGTTGGGGTGAAGCTGTTATCTCCAGGTGTGGGGCACCTGGGTCAAGGTGATGGCCCCAAGGAGGGGGAGATGGGTGTCTGACCAAGGAGGGTGGCCAGAGAGGGTGAGGAGACATGTCCCCCTGCCTGCTACCTGCCAGGGCTTGCCTGGACATGCTGGGACTTGCCTTGCAGTGAGGTCACCCCGTCTGTGCTCCGGCTGCCAGCAGATAGGAAGCGGGATTTCTATTTTTACTCGGGGATGCTCGGTCTGGGTTGGGAGCGGCGCCGGGGAGAGGGTCGGGGTGGCCCCAGGAATCACAGCGTGGTCCCCCCCGGCCACCCCCGGGCACACCGTGCTGGTGGCATCCCTGCTAATGCAGCGCAGGCAACCCGGGGGGGCTAATTTTGGGCAGAAATCCTCCCTGCAGGAGACCGAGCACCCCATCCCAAGGGACACTTGGGGGGTCCAAGCTGGGGGGGGTCTGGGATTCCCAGCTTTGGGAGTCCCAGGTCGGGTGGGCAAGGAGGAAGCTGTCTTGTTCAAGGAAATAAAACCCCTGCGTACTATTTTATTTATTTATTTTTATTTTTTTTTTCCGTGAACTGTTTTTAAAGCAGATTTAACGAGCAGGGCTCATTAAATGAGCGGAGTCAAATCCCGGAGCGCTGTTTGCTGGGCTCTGATAACGAGGTTCCTCGTAACCCCAAGGGCTCCATTGGCCCCACGCACGGGGGAAGGGGGAGGAAGGAAAGGTTTTGCCACTTTACTGTGAAGGTCGTGGCTTTTTTGGCAGCGATTTGAAAGAAAACAAACAAACAGGTTCTTGTCTCTGGTTGCCCAACAGCTCCTTGCAGATAAGGAGGGTGGTTAACGAAGTGGTCAAGCTTGTGGCGTGTTCTTGCAGTTGCTTAAAAGGCTTCCTTGCCACCGGGTCTGGGTTCTTGAGAAACTGGCCAGAAAAAAACATCTCGTTGCTTCACTTGCCCATCCGCCAACTTGCCTTGTGCCTGTGGGGTTGTGGATGGAGCTGGTGGCAGCATCAAAGTGTGGGATGTTTGGCCCCAGAAGGGCTTTACCTGCTGGAGGAGGAGTGGAGGAACATCAACATCTCCAACATCTGTCCAAGACACTGCTAAAATCCAAATATCTGAGCCCAGGATGAGCATTGGCAGATGAAGGTCCTCTCCAGGCTGCTCATTGCAGACCCCAACCCAGCTTGTCCCACCTTGGCTACTGCCTCCTTTGCTAGTCCCTGGCCTTGCCCAACACCCCAGTAACTCGCTCTGCTTTCCTCCCAGCCACCACGATGCCCCTGTCTCAGAGCCGGGCCGGGCAGATGCCATGCAGCAGTAAGGTGTGCAGGAACCTCTTCGGCCCCGTGGACCACCAGCAGCTCCAGAATGACTATGAGGACATGTTGAGGCAACAGCTGGAAGAAGCTCAGCAGCGGTGGAACTTCAACTTTGAGACGGAGACTCCCTTGGAAGGACAGTTCAAGTGGGAGAGGGTCTTCCTGACTGAGCAGCCATCCCAGGAGGTCCACAGCCTGGTCAAGGTCACTGGCAGCGAGAGCAGGACCTCCTTGGTCTCCCCCAAGGACCACCTTGGCAGGATTTGCCCTGAGGGCTCTCAGCAGAGCTCGGAGGTTTACAGGGCTGGTTCTCCACGGAGCTTGAAGCGTGGGCAGCCCACCATCAAAGGTGAGTGCTCGAGGCCTGGTGGCACTCCATGCATGCTTGGTGGCACTGCTCATGCCATGGCTTTCCTGGTAGGGACAGATGGAGGGGACCTGGGTGCAAGAGCCCTGCCTGGCTCCTGGGCATGGGGAGGGGACCCACCCTCTGTACATCTCTCCCCTGGGAGAGCAGAGCCCACCTTCCAAGGGCAAAAGGCTGCAAACTGGGTTTCTTCTGGTTGCTGGGGTTTAGGCAGGGAGCTCACATTGGGCTTGTGGGTCTTACGGCTGAAGGTGCCCCAAAATAGTTCATCCCCCTTAGCTCCCATGGCCTGAGCCTGTCCTCTAGGATCAAGGGCTGGGGTGGAAGTACAGGTGGGACCAAACAGAAGAGATGGTGGAGATCTACAGCCTCTTCTCTCCAAGAATGCATGGCTTTGGGTGGGTGGCTCTAAAATGGAGTCCAGCTGGGCTGGGTTTTGGGGTGCCTCCCTCGGGACACCTCCCTCTTCCTGCCCTGCTGCTCCTGATGGGCTGGAGGCACCTTCCAACCTTCTCTTTCCACCTTCTAGACTTCTACAGCTCCAAGCGGAGGAACATCCCTGACAAGCCCAAGCCTGACAAGCCCAAGCTGTGACCTGGTGGTCCTCTGCTCCGCTGCCATCGGGGACAGCTGCCCGTGCTGACGTGCCCTGGGGGTGTCCGTGTCTCTTTTCCCCCACCCTGCAGCGTGTGAGCTGTCTGTATGACGCCGTGTAGAGTTTGTAGTGTCCTATTTATGAGTAGCTCTGGGGTCCTGAGGGCCCTTCGCTGTGTGCAATGTAAAGGAGTAGCCCACGTTGAGGCTCGTAGCCCCACAGAGGGGTTGGAGGAGGACTGAAGAGAAGAGTGTGTGTCTCCTGCCCTGTGTTGGTGGGGCCAAGCATTGTCCTTGCACCATCCTGTTGTGGTCCTTCCCCTGCCTGATGACAGGCCACGCAGGACACTTGTGTCCCAGCCACCTGGTGGCACCAGATATCCTTAAGAAAGTGGCACAGATATGGATTGTAGAGCCCTGGGACAGCCTGGCCCTGGGGACAACCCTGGCTGCTGGCATGTGGTGGTGGCCCCTCTTCCCATCGGGAAGGACCCAGGTGGCAAGCTCCTGTCCATGTGTGGAAGTGGAGTGACATGGAGGCTGCTCCTTTCCACAACTGCCTGGGAGAGGAAACGCTCTTCCCCGGACAGCCCTTCCTTGGGGTGACTCACTGGTGCTGTCACCATCAGAGATGGGCTCTGACCAACCTGCTGGAGGCCCCCAGCGCTGAGCTCATGGTGGGACCAATGCTGCCTTTGGGGGTCCCCTGGATTCTGCTGCCCCAAAACCCCACTTTCTTTCTTTGCTGTTGGCTCGTTGAGTTTGCCCTCCTGTTCCTGCCTCCTCCAACGCTGACACCAGGCTGGGGAGCTGCCTGCTCTGGCCATGTTGGACTGCTCTAGGAAGGAAGGAAGGAGTCCTGCTTGAAAGAAGAAAATGTAGCTTTTCTCCTGGACTTTTTCTCCTTTGGGGCTGAGGAAGAGAGAGGACCCTCACCTGGCTCTGCAGAGCGAGCAGCTTTGGTCACCTCCAGGACCAAGGGATGTCTTGGAGTGAAGGTTGCTTGGTCCCAGCACTGAAGGATGGGTCTCTGCTCCTGAAGGACTCAAGACTGTCAGGTCTCAGCACTTTGATGGGGTCCATCTCCTGCTCTGCTGGATTTGGACTCGGGGAGGGGGGGGGGAAACTGGTGCAAGATGGTCCCAGGCAGAAGAGGAACGGGATCGACCTCCCGCCTTGCACCGCGATGCACTTTGCTGTCGGTGAAGCTGGCAAGTTCCCAGCATTAAATGTTTATTTATAAAAAAAAATAATAATTAATAAATGCTATTAAGTCTATATGGGGGGGGGGGAGGGGAAATACCTGTTTGTCTGTTAATGTTAACTCCAAATAAACACTCATCTTGTGTAGGGGAATCGGTGTCTCTGGGTTAATGGAAATAATTGTGCTGGGAGCAGGGTCTGGCTGTGGGGAGGGGGATGCTCTGGTCTGGGGGCCTGTGGGGGGTCACTCTGGGGGTGTGGGGATCATTTTGGGGGTGCAGCCCTGAGCTGGGAGCTGCCTTCGGGCTGGCTGGGAGCAGGGGTGGCTCTGGTTGTGCCTTCCATCCCTGTCACAGCCTTGGGTGGCTCCTCTGTGGCATGAACCATGGAAGTTGGGGAGCTGTGTGAGGGCTGAGAGGGGCAAAACCTCACCATAGTCCCTGTCCCCACCCTCCTGGGACACTGCTGTGGTCCTGGGTGCAGGATTGGTGCTGCTACCCTGTCCCCACCAGAAGACACTGCCACCTGCTAGGACCCCTGTGTGAATGTGGGTTCCTCCACTTCCCACATCATTCCCCCTTCCCCATGGTGACCCCAGGCCTCTACTCCCAACCTCCAGTGCCCTGTCTTGTGGGGCAAGTGGCCCACTAGCCACAGGGAAACTGGTCAAGTCTCCACTCCAAGGTGCCCAGGCCAATGAGGGTGACCCAAGCTGTGGGACAGCAGCATGTAAGGGCATGTGGTGGCACTGCTGGTGAGAACATGCAGCAACGTGTCCCAGGTGGGACTGAGACTGGAGCTGCTGGATGCCAGGGCTGATGGTGGGAGCCAGGGATGCCGCCACCATCAGCTGCTTCCTCTGAAGACCGAACAAGACGTGTATGTGGACTGAGCTCAAGTTATCATTAATACAAGGATCCAGGTGAAAACAAAGTTTTGATGGTGACCACAACCTCGTGTCATCATTCAACCAAGTATCCCTAAGCATCTGCCTGTCCCCATGGCGTTGGGTGACACTCACACGTGCTGACGCCCCTTGAAATGCTTGTGGAGCACAATCACTCAGCCTTTTGGCTGCTGCTGAGTCAAGCCCTACACATTTAGCCCTTTTAATCTTTCCCCTTACGTCAGTCCTTCCAGCCCCCTTGGCTGCTGCCAGCTGCTCCCCTCTGCTGTCACCTCCTGTTTGTCCAGAGCGGTGGCGATGGAGGAAGCAAGAAATAAATCAGCAAATACTCCCTCATCCCTGGTTGTGGGGCTCTGAGGGCAGCCAGGGTCTGGCTCTGCTGTGTGAGAGGGATTTGGCACCTCCAGCTCTGGGGCCACCAACATCAGAAGGACATGGAGCTGTTGGAGCGGAGCCAGAGGAGGCCACGGAGATGCTGGGAGGGCTGGAGCCCCTCTGCTGGGAGGGGGGGCTGAGAGAGTTGGGGGGTTCAGCCTGGAGAAGAGAAGGCTCCAGGGAGACCTTGGAGCCCCTTCCAGTCCCTCAAGGGGCTCCAGGAGAGATGGGGAGGGACTCTGGATGAGGGAGGGGAGCCCTAGGAGGAGGGGGAAGGGTTTGACACTCAAAGAGGGGAGATGGAGCTGAGATGTGGGGAAGAACTTGTTTGGTGTGAGGGTGGTGAGAGCCTGGCCCAGGTTGCCCCGAGAAGCTGTGGCTGCCCCATCCCTGGAGGGGTTCAAGGCCAGGTTGGAGGGGGCTTGGAGCAACCTGGCGTGATGGGAGGTGTCCCTGCCCAGGGCAGGGGGTGGCACTGGGTGATCTTTAAGTTCCCTTCCAACCCAAACCATTCTATGGTTCTGTCTCTGTCTCTGTCTCCTCGGGGCTGGAAAGGGCTGTTGATGCTGTGGGGCTGGATCATACCCTCCAAATGGCTGGTGCTAACCCCAGCTCTGCAGCTGGAGGCTGGGCAGAGGGCACAAATCAGCGAGCTCTCCCATTTAGGGTTTCACCTCCCAAAACATCCTCAGGGAAGGCAAAGTTGAAATTCATTCTTTGTGCAGCAGCAAAGAGCCCTGGGGTTGTGAGACGTGGTGACAAAGGTGAGCTCAGAGATGGGTTTTTTCCAGTGGGGGACCCCAGCCCGCCCACGGGGCTAACCCAGTCTGGGGTCAGAAACACCACCATATAACGAGGTAAAAAGGCACTCATTGCAAACAGAATACCTTAAATGAATAGCTTGTTTTCAGCTCACAGACTGACCTGTTTTAATAAGTCTTGTGACAACTACCTGCCGGTAATAAGGTATTATGACCTTGTAGAAGTCTTACCACATGAAAAAGGCAATATAAGTTCAATATTTTATTTTCAGTTATTGTGTTAGAGGCAGAAGACCTAAGAATGATACTGCTTAGAATAAGGCTGATGAGTAAATGGTATGTCCAGCTTTCCAGTGTACTGAGGAGCTGTTTTAATGCACTTTTCCAGGTATTAGTCTCTTGATGAATCTGATCTCTTTATAAACTTGCTCTAGACTTGCTCTGTAAAAGCGTAACCTTTCCTCTGCAATCAGTCACACTATTTCTTGGAGTTCTGTGAATCAGGCTGTGGCATTGCCTGGTGGTGCCCTGTGTGCCTGGACACTCCTGGGGTAACAGGCACCAGCTTTGCTGGGGGAGCAGAGAAGAACCAGCTGAGCCTTGAATTACCCCAAAATGCCCAAATACAGGGGTTGCACCTGATCTGGCTGCTGCCTCGTTAGGTTAAATGGGGAAACCAGCAGGGCAGGGCTGGGAGCTGGGTGTGATGGGGCAGGGCACCCGCGCAGCCGGTTCCCAGTCAGTGATTTAACCAGCTTGAACTGGGAGAGATGGGCAGAGAACCAGCCTCCACCCCACAGCTCCTGCCCCGGGAGCCTGGGCTCAGAGCAGCGCTGTGAGCCAGGGGAATGTTAATTCTAGTTATAACCTAAAAGTAATAGTATTTTTTTTCCTTGCTTGGGATTATTTTTTTTTTCTCATTTTTGCGGTTAAAGTGGAGTAAAAATACGTGTGACCTGTCTAATTCCCCTGTCCCCTTGCAAACCCACGGGCAGTCGGTGGCTTTGGTGCTGGCTTTAAAGCTGAGTTCATGATTTGGGCAGGAGTACCGAGAAAAAAAAACCATCAGTGTGAGCATCGCGGTGAGGGAGAGCTCCAAATTCTGGGGGCAAAAAAGCCTCCCCAGGGGGATGGGGTGGGGAGGGGGGGCAGTTGCAGGTTTGTTCTGTCTTTGGTAGGGTGTTATAACCTTGTGGGTTTTACATACTCCTGTAGTTTGGGTTATTTGAAGTCTTAAAATAACACTCCCTGTGTCTCTGATGCTTTTCCCCCAGGAGCCTTCCAGCCTTGGCTGGACCCACAAGTGAGGAAAAGATGGGGACTCGTGCTGTGGGTCTCAATGATGCTGGTGGTGGCTTTACTTTGGGATCTGGGGGGTTTTTGGGGGACAGTGACCCCCCGGATGAGCCCTTCCCGCACCCCGCTTGCACGGCGGCAAACAGGAAATGTGTGAGCACCGACAGTTGAGTGTCACCCAAAAACGGAAAAGTCGCCTTGGGTAAGAGAGAAAATGAGAGCTCGGGGCAGGTGGGTGGGGGGGTGACAGCAGCACCCCCGGCCTGGGACCAGCATTTGCCCCCCCGCAGCCCCCGGCACCCCAAAATTGAGGGTCCTTCTCGGGACGTGAGGAAGGTAAGTTCTGCCGCTCCGGGGATATCTCACAAATCGCCTTAAAAAATTAGAAAAGCAAGGAAAGTAAGAGGGGTTTCTTGATTGGGGGGGGAAGGGGGGGCTGTTTCTCGCTCCCTATGGGGGGACATTGGCTGGGGGCACTTTTCTGATGGCTGGGAGCCGTGGGGGGGTATTTCAGAGGCGAGG